CTTTTTCTGCTTATGTGATGCTGAGGAATCGAACCCAGGGCCTCATGCATGTAAGGCAAGCACTCTATCACTGAGCCACCTTCCCAGCCTATAGTTCTATGTTTCAGTGTTCTGCTCATTTATATAACCACACTGTTGGCGATGCATATTTCAATGGTTAGGAGTAGGGCAGTATAGAACATACAGAACTTGAAATAAAAGATTCACTTGCAAGTCTCTAACTAACTTGCAAGTCATGGCTAAAAGCTTAGACTCTAGTCGGACTTTTAAGTCCCACTATGTGTGTTTTCTGTCAAGTTTATCTCTGCCCTCCTAAAACTAGATTGAGTAGTAGATTAGCTGCAATAAAGATTAAATGAGTTAATGTAAGTGAAACATTTGAAGAGTAACTGGCATTGAGTAAGCACTTAATAGTAGCTTTTTTGGTGCTGGGCGTAGTGATGCACATATATAATCCTAGTACTTGGAAGACAGAGCTCAGCCTGGGCTACAATAATGGGAACTTGTGTAAAAAAATGAGGACAAAGGAACTGGGAAGTTGGCTCAGTGGTAGAGCACTTGCCTTGCAAGCATGAGGCCCTGGGTTCGATTCCTCAGCACCACATAAGCAGAAAAAAAAAAGCTGGAAGTGGTGCTGTGGCTCAAGTGGTAGAGAGCTAGCCTTGAGCTGAAGAGCTGAGGGACAGCGCCCAGGCCCAGTGTTCAGGCCCCATGACCAGACCAAAAAAAACAAAACAAAACAAAACAAAAAATGAGGACAAAGGATGTAGTTCAATGGTAGAATGTTTGCTGATTTGGAAGACCTTGGATTCAATCCTTAGCACTGTTTGATTAATTGAGTTAGGTACTAGTTATGAGGCATGAACTCAGGGCCTACTCACTGTCTTTAAGCTTTTTGTTCAAGGCTAGTACTCTTCCCCTTGAGCCACAGTGCCACTTTGGCCTTTTGGTGGTTAATTGGAAGTAACAGTCTCATTGACTTTCCTGCCTGGGCTGGCTTTGAACCATGATCCTAGGATCTCAATCTCCTGAGTAGCTAGGAATATAGGCATGAGCTACCAGCACCCAAAAAATAAAAAATATATTTAAAAATTTATTTTTAACGTTAGTTTTAGTTTGATGAACTTAAGTAATTTTTTTTGGTCAGTCATAGGGCTTGGACTCTGGGCCTGGACACTGTCCCTCAGCTCTTCAGCTCAAGGCTAGTTCTCTACCATTTGAGCCACAGCTCCACTTCCAGCCTTTTCTATTTATGTGGTGCTGAGGAATTGAACCCAGGACCTCATGTATGTGAGGTAAGCACTCTACCACTGAGCCACCTTCCCAGTCCCCTTAAGCAAGTAATTTTAAGTGAAATCAGATAGGATCTCAATTAGCCTTGAACTCACAATCCTGCCTTAGCCTCTCAAATGCTAGTATTATAGACATGAGCTATTATCATAATGCTCAGCCAAGTGGCTTCATTTTTTTTCTTTCCTCATCACTGAAAATACCTGTCTTACAAATCCTCTACTGAATCCTTTAGGAACTGTCAACAAAATCAGTGGACATTTTGATTTAGAGAGATTACATTTGCTATGACCTCAACACACTGGACATGTACATAAGTTACTCTAGCAGTTAAGTGCCATTCTGAATTCATCTGTTATGGCAAACCTCTACCCCCAAAACCTACAAAAAGAACAAAACAGAAAACCCAAGGAAGCCAGATTCTGCAGACTTCAATTAGCTCAGTAGTGATTCATTTCAGTCTCACTTTTCCATCTTTAAAATAGATCTTCCTAAAGTTCATTTTAACAATACAGATTTTTTAAGCAACACTAGGAATATAAACACATCTTAAACTGTGCAAATATGTTTTTCAAAGGGAACTAAGACATTACTCTGTTTTTAAAAGAATTTTAGAGCCGGGCACTGGTGGCTCATACTTGTAATCCTACTCAGGAGGCTGAGATCTGAGGATTGCGGTTCAACGGCAGCCCAGGCAGGAAAGTCCTTGAGACTCTTTATCTCCAATAAACCAACAGAAAACCAGAAGTGGAACTCTGGCTCAAGTGGTAGAGCACCAGCCTTGAGCTAAAGAGCTGAGGGACAGCACCCAGGCACAGAGTTAAAGTGAAAAGAATAAAAAGCACCCTAAAGTTGAGATGAATAAACTGGGGGTCTTTTTTAGAAGCCAGAAAATGTGGGATACCCACATTCTGTCACTATGGAATGGAGCCCAGAAAGCTGCACGGGCTTCTCAGCTGTACTCATGAGCTGTCTCAGACAACACTTCACAGCTCCCATCCACTTTACCATTCTTAACTCTACAACTTTGAAAGTCCTTGCAGCGATAAAAACATTTCTGACTTATTTATCCATAAGAATCTTCTTGATTGCTAGGCTTAGAGAAAGCACCTAAGAACCTGATATAAATGACCAGCTGTTGCTCAAATGTACAGTAAGAATTCCCTAGCCTAAAAAGGAATGAGAAGCTCTGTAGTATTTTTAGAGCACAGAAAGCAGCTAGATGCTGGGAGAGAGGTTGCTCCTTTTGGTGGCTTTTACTTCTGTGACCACCTAACTCTTCTATTTGCCCTACACAAAAATGCAGGAACCTGAAATCAAAACAAAAATTCAGGATATTTTGCTTCATATATATATATTTTTTTTGGGGGGGGGGGTTGGTTATGGGGCTTGAACCCTGGGCCTGAGCACTGTCCCTCAGCTCTTCAGCTCAAGGCAAGCACTCTACCACTTGAGCTACAGCGCCATTTCCAGTTTTCTCAGTGTTTATTGGAGATAGAGTTTCACGGACTTTCCTACCTGGGCTGGCTTTGAACCACGATCATCAGATCTCAGCCTCCTGGGTAGTTAAGATTACAGGTGTGAACCACCCACGCCTGGCTTGCTTCATATATTTTTATAGTTGGGAGTATTGATCTAAACTCCAGGAGATCTAGCATTAGTTTTTTTTTTGTTTTTTTTTTTTGGGGGGGGTCGGTCGTGGGGCTTGAACTCTGGGCCTGGGTGCTGTCCTTCAGCTCAAGGCGAGTGCTCTACCACTTGAGCTACAGCGCCACTTCCGGTTTTCTGGTGGTTTATTGGAGATAGGAGTCTCATGGTCTCTCCTGCCCGGGCTGGCTTTGAACCGCGATCCTCAGATCTCAGCCTTCTGAGTTGCTAGGATTACAGGCGTGAGCCACCAGCGCCCGGCCTAGCATTAGTTTTGAAGACAGTATACAGCAACATCAAGATATGTGAATGCTGGTAATTCTTACCATGAGGTGTGGAATGAACAACAAAGACCGCTTAATATATTTCAATTTTATTGGTCTTATTTAAAATTGATCAATATTTTACAATATTTAAAAATCATCTATATTAGGTGCTAGTGGCTCACGTCTATAATCCTAGCTACTCAGAAGGCTCAGATCTGAGGCTCACCCTTTAAAGCCAGCCCAGAGAGGAAAACTCCGTAAGATTCTTATTTCCAATTAACTACTAGAAAACCAGAAGTGACACTATGGCTTGAAGTGGTAGAGTGCTCTCCTTGAGCAACAGAGCTTAGGGACAGCACCCAGTCCCCAAGTTCAAGCCCTACAACTGACCAAGAAAAAAAAATCATATTTAGACTGAAGCAAAACAATTAACTTTTAAATTACTACAATTCTATAATTCTATAATTTTTTTTTCTGGTCAGGTGTGGGTCTCGAACTCAGGGCCTGGGCGCTGTCCCTAAGCTCTTCTGCTTAAAGCTAGCTTTGAGCCTCAGTGCCACTTCCCATTTTCTGGTGGTTAATTGGACAGGACTTTCCTGCCTGGGCTAACTTCGAACTAGGATCCTCACAAAGGAGATAAAACAAAGCATAACAAAAAAGAAGCTATGATTACTCAGAACTTGTACTTTATAAGCTAGTATTTTTTTTTTTTTTTTTGTCGGTTGTGGGGCCTGAACTCTGGGCCTGGGTGCTGTCCCTCAGCTCTTCAGCTCAAGGCTAGTGCTCTACCACTTGAGCCACAGCACCACTTCTAACTTTTTCTGCTTGTGTGGTGATGAGGAATCGAACCCAGAGCCTCATGCATGTAAAGCAAGCACTCTACCACTGAGCTACCTTCCTAGTCCCTAAGCTAGTATTTTTATGAAAGTTTTTTCTGTGAAGAGGCTGACAGTTCATCTGTATTTTCAGAACTTTTAGGAAATGCTAGTTAAAAGAAATGCAAATGACTTCCCAAGGTCTGCAGTAAGGAAATTTTCAGAAAATTAGTTAAAACAACATTTTCTTAACGTTGTAAATACAAAGCAAACAAATACAAAGTAAACTATGATCCTCAGATCTCAGTCTCCTGAGTAGCTAGGATTACAGGCATGAACCAACCCATCTCAGTTTGTTAAGTTGTTTACTTCCAAACAGATGTACCTTTATAGTCTGACATTAAAATGCTAAAAATTATCAGTGATTGCCTTAGTGGGGATGAAGGAATAATATCACCAATTAAGCTGGGAGGAAGAAGGCAAGAAGCAGCACATCTTATATAACCCACTGAGGCTGCTATTCTTTTGGATGCTGTTTGAAAGGCTAAAAAATTGAGGATGTATAGAGTATAAAAGGGTTATTTCACTGTTCAGTATTCAGAGCTAGATCTAATTAGAGCTAAGTAAGATCTAGGATGGATTTTTAAATGATAGAATATTATATAATATTCACTCTAACAACAGAATGAGACTGAAGGCATGCTTGTTTTGTATTGTTAGCAGTCTGAATGGACAATGTATCTTAAAGTTGCTAGTGCAATTGGACACTGAAATAAAAATCTAGAAGCCATTATGATCATGTAAGAATATGTTATGCTTTCTATTACACTATGAAATTTCCCCCAAAGCCACTAAATAATCCAAGCTAAAACTGGAAAAACTCAATTAAGTAATAATTTGTGGAATCAATTATCTTCCATAAAACACAATTCTTTTTTCCCCAATCAAATTATTGAAGTAGAGAAACCAAGTAGTCACGTACCTATAGATGGTGATTTGAAAGGGTATTTGTCAGGAAGATCCACTCTAACTTTCCATACTCCACCTTCATATGGTGCTGAAATAAAAGTAACAAATGTCATACATTAAAACTATGTCTCCACAAGCAAACTGACTTAAGGAGGTATACTTAGAGGAGGAGTCCAATGGTGTAATTCCTTTGAACAGCCAATGAACATTCAACTAAGTGACTATTAGGAAGCTGAAACCTGTTGGGGTGGAGGGCCATGAGAGGGGAGGGTACAGGAATGAAGGGAAGAAGAGTGAGCAAATGCAGTCATTATATTAAATATACATATATAAAAATTGAACTGTGTAACTTGAGGATAGGGATGGGATAGGGAAAGAATGATGGAAGGGGCAACATTGGACAAGATGCATTTGTATTCATAACTTGACTTCTGGAATTGGAATCATTTTGTACAACACTTAAAAATCAATTTTTTGGGGGGCGGTTGGTCATGGGGCTTGAACTCTGGGCCTGGGTACTGTCCCTGAGCTCTTTAGCTCAAGGTGAGCACTCTACCACTTAAGACACAGCACCACTTCTGGTTTTCTGGTGGTTTACTGGACTAAGAGTCTCATAAGACAGCAGTGGTGGCTCATGCCTGTAATCCTAGCTACTCAGGAGGCTGAGATCCATCTGAGGATTGTAGATCAAATCACTCCCAGAGGGCTGGGAAGGTGGCTCAGTGGTAGAGTGCTTGCCTTGCATGCAAGAGGCCCTGGGTTCGATTCCTCAGCACCACATATGCAGAGAAGGCCAGAAGTGGTGCTATAGCTCAAGTGGTAGAGTGCTAGCCTTGAGCTGAAGAGCTGAGGGAAAGCGCCCAGGCCCAGAGTTCAGGTTCCCTGACAGGCAAAAAACAAAAACAAAAAAAGAAACCCAGGAGCTGGCAAGGTAGCTCAATGGTAGAGTGCTTGCCTTGTATGCATGAGGCCCTGGGTTCAATTCCTCAGCACCACATAAGCAGAAAAAGCTGGAAGTGGCACTATGGCTCAAGTGGTAGAGCACTAGCCTTCAGCTGAAAAGCTGAGGGACAGCGCCCAGGTGCAGAGTTCAGGCCCCAGGACAAAAAAAAAAAAACAAAAACAAACAATCAAAAAAAACAACAAAGCCAGCCTAGGCAAAGGAAGTCCTTGAGACTCTTATCTCCAATTAACCATCAGAAAACTGGAAGTGGTGCTATGGCTCAAGGGTTAGAATGCTTGCCTTGAGTTGAAGAGCTGAAGGACAGCACCCAGGCCCAGAGTTCAAGCCCCAGATTTTCCTGCCTGGGCTGGCTTTGAACCATGATCCTCAGATCTCAGCCTCCTGAGTAGCTAGGATTACAGGCATGAGCCAGTGGCACCCAGCCATAATATTTTTTAAAAAACCAAAACCAAAACTGTGTCTCCAAATTAAAAATAAATCTGAATATAATTAAACGTTAAGCAGTTTTGCTGAAAACCTTTAAATTTCTTTAAGAGTCAGGGAACTACTACAACCTCCATGTCCAGACTAATATACTTTAGAGGATCCAGAGTTAGAAAATATTCTTTTTTTTTTTTTTTGAGTCCGGTCGTGGGGCCTGAATTCTGGGCCTGGGCGTTGTCCCTCAGCTCTTCAGCTCAAGGCTAGCACTCTACCACTTAAGCCACAGTGCCACTTCCGGCTTCTTTTTTTTTTGCTTATGTGGTGCTGAGGAATCGAACCCAGGGCCGCTGGCATGCAAGGCAAGCGCTCTACCACTGAGCCACCTTCCCAGCCCTAGAAAATATTCTTATTACTCAATTTATTTTTTATTTTTTTGCCAGTTGTGGGGTTTGAATTCAGGGTCTGGGCACTGTCCCTCAGTTCTTAAGCTCAAGGCTAGAGCTCTACCACTTGAGCCATAGCACCACTTCTGGCTTTTTCTACTTATGTGGTACTGAGGAATTGAACCCAGGGCCTCATGCATGCAAGGCAAGCGCTCTACCACTGAGCCACCTTCCCAACCCTTATTATTCAATTTTACTTAGTTCTATTAAACACTATTCAATTATTCGTTAATTAATAGCTATATTCCCTTTTTTCCTATCTCAACCAACTGTTCTGCACTCAAAAAAGCAAACAAGAAAATGCACTTCCCAGAAACCACTCATGTGGCCATTTATAACAAAACCCAAAAATCATAACTCATAAAGTAAGTATATAAAATAATTATAATGAGACAAAAATTTCCTCGATGCTTTCTCTCTTTTTTTCTCTTTCTGGTCCTGGGGACTGAACTCAGGGGCTGAGCACTGTCCCTGAGCCTCTTTGTGCTCAATGCTAATGTACTACCACTTATGCTGCAGCACCACTTCCGGCTTTTTCAGAGTAGGTTATTGGAGTTAAGAGTCTCATGGGCTTTCCTGCCCCAGCTAGTTTTTTTGTTTGTTTTTTTTGGGTCGTCGTGGGGCTTGAACTCTGGGCCTGAGCACTGTCCCTGCACTCTTCAGCTCAAGGTGAGCACTCTACCACTTGAGCTAATGCCACTTCCAGTTTTCTGGTGGTTTATTGGAGATAAGAGTTTCACGGACTTTCCTGCCCGGACTGACTTTGAACCATGACCCTCAGATCTCAGCCTCCTGAGTAGCTAGGATTAGCCACCGGCGCCCGGCTTCCCCAACTAGTTTTGAACCATGATCTCAGCCTCCTGAGTAGCTAGGATTACAGGTGTGAGCCACTGGTACAAAGCTCTCACTTGCTGTTTCTGGAGTTCAATTGAACCTACTTTTGAAAAGCTATGCATGCCATCACCTCTCTTAGATATTCTATTAAGGAAGAGAGTAAAAAACCACTGCAACAGAAAAACACATAGTAACACATGTACTTACTTCCTTGTGGTCCATAAAACTTCACTACAAATTCATTGAGTCCTCCCAGGATTGTAACCTCGTGTTTACTCTCAATGCTAAGGTAGAAGGTAAAGGAAATCACACAGACTATGTATTATAGAGAAGAACTTTTGATGACATCCTCAAGACAGGCCAATTAAAAAGTGTTACCAATACTTGACAGGAAATTAATAAAAAGTAAAATATATATAACATCTCTAGAGATTTAGGAGGTCATCTATATGCTTATGAGAAGGATATGCATAATCACTGGATTCAGAGAGACTTACGTTCATATCTCCTAACTGCCATTTACTGTGTTTTTTAAGCCTAGACAAATAAAGCAACTGACTACCCAACCGTTCTTTCTCAACACAAAAAATACCACTTCTTAGGACTTCTTGAAGGGAAAATGAATAATATGTAAATGAAAAATAGCACTTTTAAGTTTTTTCTCCCCTCTATATCTTTTCCTTTCTAACCAACGGGCCCTTAACTTAAATCCAGTCAAATTCAAATGTTTAACAAAACACCAATTCCAAAACTAGAAGAGCTATGTTCCTACAATAACAGAGTTACTGAGGACAGCTCCACAATTTTCTCTTTGGCTCATGGAACTATCAAAATAGGTAATACAACTTATTACACACAAGGGCCAAAAAAAATTTTTTTAACATCTTACTTAGGATGCTGGGAATGTGGTTTAGTGGTAGAGTGCTTGCCTAGCATACATGAAGGCTTGGGTTGGATTCCTCAGTACCACATACACAAAAGGCTCGAAGCGATGCTGTGGCTCAAGTGGTAGAGCACTGGCCTCAAGCACAGAGAGGCTCAGGGACAGAGCCCAGGCCCCAAGTTCAAGCCCAAGAACTGGCAAAATAATAAATAAATAAAAAATAAAACATCTTACTTGTGCCATTTATTTTCACCTACTCTTTCCTTCCTTCCCTTCCTCCTCAAATTCCCTTCCTCTAGATTTGCCTTTCAGTTCTAAGCATAGTCTAATCACTTTTAATTCTCTTCCTCTAAAAGCTACCTAGCCCTGAGACTTCTTATCTTTTTTTTTTTTTGGGTCCGGTCTTGGGGCCTGAACTCTGGGCCTAGGTGCTGTCCCTCAGCTCTTCAGCTCAAGGCTAGCACTCTACCACTTGAGCCACCACACCACTTCCGGCTTTTTTCTTTTTGCTTATGTGGTGCTGAGGAATCGAACCCAGGGCCTCATGCATGCAAGGCAAGCGCTCTACCACTGAGCCACCTTCCCAGCCCCAACTCTGACTTCTTTAAAGTACTAAGATTCAATTACCAAAATCAAGTTAAATCTGTACCTGTAGGAGAGAGGGTGACTGGTCTAAATCTAACCTATGTCTCTTCTTTGTGGTATATAACCCAGTAAACTCGATACAATTTTAGGCTTTGGGAAACTTCAAATCTCACTGTAACATCAAGAAGAAAAAAAAAGAAAGAAAAGAAAAAGGAAAAATATAAAAGGAAGCCAGACACAACAGATTGGAAACATATTTCTCAACCAGCATGGTAATTTATGTTTTAATTACATGTACTATCAAAAGAAAATGAAATCAAAGAGAAAATTTTAATGATTTCTTAAGGAGAGGAAAAAATGGTTGGGGGGGTTGTTTTGAGAGAGGGTCTTGTTACATAGTCCAGGCAGTCCTCCAACTCACAATCCTTCAGCCTCTATCTCTCAAGTGTTGAGATCATCAAGCCTGGCAAAAAAAGTGATTACTTTTACAGGTTTGAAATTAAGTTTTTTGGTTCCCTAAGCCTGTGCCCAACAGGTTACAGTACAGATTGCATGAGTCCAGGTATGTATTTATGTGTATATGTGTGTGTGTGTGTGTATGTGTATGTATATAGTTGTTTTTTGTTTTTTGGTTTTTTTTTTACTGGTCCTGGCACTTGAACTGAGGGCCTGCACACTGTCCCTGAGCTTCTTTTGCTTAAGGTTAGCACTCTACCACTTGAACCACAGTTCTACTTCTAGCTTTTCTGAGTAATTTTATTGGAGATAAGAGTTTCATGGCCTTTTCTGCCTGTGTTAGCTTCAAACTGTGATCCTCAAATCTTAAGCCTCTTGAGTAGCTAGGATTACCGGTGTGAGTCACCAGAGTCAAGCTGAGTGCAGGTGTATTTTCCATAAATTCTTTGCTCAAGTCTTGGACAGTATATCTACAATAGATATTTAAGTAAGTTAATTCAGAGTAAGCCAATTTGATCTAATTCTTTTCTAAATAAAACTTATTTCAATAAACACAATAAAAGGATTAAAATAGAATCTAAATAGAAAAATTGATATCTCTGGTGTACTAAATTCTTCCTGATCTTCCTGACACTTGCAAAAATATTCCCAAGTTGGGGCTGGGAAGGTGGCTCAATGGTAGAGCGCTTGCCTTGCATGCATGAGGCCCTGGATTCCATTCCTCAGCACCACATTAAGCAGAAAAAGCCAGAAGTGGTGTGGTGGCTCAAGTGGTAGAGTGCTAGCCTTGAGTTGAAGAGCTGAGGGACAACGCCCAGGCCTAGAGTTCAGGCCCCACAACCAACAAAAATAAATAAATAAATAAAATGTTTTAAAATGTAGGGGGAAAAAAATCAATTTCACTGGGAGTCGGGGAAGTCAAATCCAGATATAATTAAGTATAAGCAACAGAGCCCTCAAAGAAAGTATTTTTCCATAGTGAAAGGCCTTTCTGAGAATGAGACCACATCCAGAAACACAGAGGAAATGATTAGTGTATATAAAAAGGAGCCATGCCCTGGTGGCTCATGCCTGTATTCCTAGCTACTCAGGAGGCTGAGATCTGAGGATCAAGGTTTAAAGCCAGCCTGGGCAGGAAACTCTGTGAATCTCTTGCCAATAAACCACCAGAAAACCAGAAGTTGCGCTGTGGCAACACTTGCCTTGAGCTGAAGAGCTGAGGGACAGCACCTAGGCCCAGATTCAAGCCACACAACTGACAGGAAAAAGAAAAAGAAAAAAAAAAAAGAAAGTCTACAACATATTTAAAATTAGGGAGAAAAAATATATATAGTATATGATAAATGTGTATTTGCTGGTGGCAGAGTTGAGCAAGTGCTTAGCATGCATATCTAGTACCACCTTTAAAAAAAGTTTAACAAAGTTAGTTTTACCATATACACATCTACAGCAGTAGTATTTTCATCAATTAAAAAAAAAAAATTGGGTGGGAAGGGGTGGGAGCATTGGTTGTGGTTGTAATCAGGGCCTAGGCACTGTCTGTCCCTGAGCTCTTTTGCTCAAGGCTAATGCTTTACCACTTTTGAGCCACAGCACCACTTCTGGTTTTCTGGTGTTAATTGGACTTTACTGGGCTGGCTTCGAAATGTGATTTTCAGATCTCAGCCTTCTGAGTAGCTAGTTATAGGTGTGAGCCACCAGTGCTGGGCATTGCCACAGTTTTGACACTTGAACACAGAAAAACAGATACTGTTCTGGTAAAAAGAAAATTATAAATAAGCCCACAAATCCTATTTTACTATCTTCTAAAGTATTCACGAAATACTAGTTTTTATCCATTTAACATTTTACATTGCACCGAACCTAAAGAAAAAACTATATGAAGCTAGTGGGGAGCTGAGGGACAGCGCCCAGGCCCAGAGTTCAAGCCCCACGACTGACCAAAAAAAAAGAAGCTAGTGAGTGTAGCTTAGTGGTAGAGCACAACAAAAAAAGAAGACCAAAGAAATTAAGCAACTTTCACTACCTAGTTTTCTTGGTAAAAGGTAATGTCTGTTGATCAATACACAAAAATAATACCTTAGAAGGCTGTTTATAAAAATTCTCTAAGAGAAACAAATTTAATTATTTTTTTTAATTTTAATAATCTAAATGAAAAAGTTTAAAAGCAAGCTCTTTAAAATATACCTATTAAATCCAAAGAAAATAGACAGACACACACACACATATATTTGTCCTTACAATCACGTAGAAACCACTGCTCTAAAAGCTCTGATCACAAGACCTTCTTACTTCCTTTACTTCCTACTTCTTTTTCCAGAACATGAATGGCTGACACCTACTGTTTACTACTCCATAATCATTAGGCATAGCAGGTATCAAATATTAAGTGGCATTGATAACAATTCCACTTTGGTTTCACAAAAATTAAAAGGCCAGAAAACAATACAACAGACTTAGGGCTTTTTTAAAGTAATATACACTCAGGTGTAACAGGTTTAAGATCCCTGCCAAGAGTTTATACTGAAAAAGCAAAATGGATGAATACACTAGGTAGAATGCTAAATGTGATCTATATGTGATCTAACAAGTAGAGAACTACTCCCTATTTCAAAAACAAATGAACATCAGCCGGGCACCAGTGGCTCACACTTGTAATCCTAGTTACTCAGGAGGCTGAGATCTGAGAATCACAGTTCAAAGCCAGCCCGGGCAGAAAAGTCCATGAGACTCTTTATCTCCAATAAACCACTAGAAAACCAGAAGTGGCGCTGTGGCTCAAGCGGTAGAGTGCTCCCCTTGAGCTGAAGAGCTGAGGGATAGTGCCCAGGCCCAGAGTTCAAGCCCCACAACCAACAAAAACAAATGAATGCGTCCTTATGTAACTGGGCCTACTTTCAAATGACCATTTGGATGAGTTATGAGAGACACATGATTATCTGCTGGATGTTTAACAAAAGCCTTGACTGTTTAAAAACTAAAAAAGTAAAGTAAAATGAAAATTAGCGTCTTCTACTTTGCTGAAAGTCTGCTTGATAACTATTCAAAAGGGTAGTTACTAGGCAAATATCCTATGTGATAACTTGCTCAAATAGTTGTAAGAAATTGTCTTGGGGCTGGGAAGGTGGCTCATTGAGAAAGTGCTTGCCTCCCATGCTTGAGGCCCTGAATTCCATTCCTCAACCTAGCATGCAACAAAGCCATTGATCCAATACCCAGCACAGAAAATCATCTTTAAAAAGGAGGGGAACTAGGGCTGGGAAGGTGGTTCAGTGGTAGAGTGCTTACCTTGCATGCATGAGGCCCTGGTTCAATTCCTTAGCACCACATAAATAGCGTGCTGTAGCTCTGGGGCCTGGG